TGGTTAACATAACTTTTGGAGGGAGTTAAAAAGCATGTAGACAGGCGTGATCTACTTGATACACTGTAATACATACTCTGAGTTAATTAATAAGGAAAAAAGTGATTTTATTAAATACTAATAGAAAATAAAAATAGAATAATTTAAAATTAAATTAAATAGAAAATAGGATTTAAGTGGTTCCAAGTAGTAACAGACAGAACAAAGTAAGTCACCAAACAAAATAAAATAAAATGCGCAAATCTATGTCTAATCAAACTGAATACAGATAATCTCACCCTCAGAGATGCTTCAGTAAGCTTTTTCTCAGACTGGACACCTTCCAGGCCTGGGCACAATTCTTTCCCAATTCTTGTTACAGCTCAGGTGATAGCTAGCGGATTCTTCATGATGGCTCCTCCCCATCTTTGTTCTGTTCCAACCCTTTATATATCTTTTGCATAAGGCGTGAACCCTTTGTCCCTCTGGGTTTCCACCCCCCCCCCTCACTGGAAAAGCACCAGGTTAAAGATGGATTCCAGTTCAGGTGACATGATCACATGTCACTGCAAGCCTTCATTGCCCACTTGCCAGCACACACACATACAGGAAGACTAACAGGTAAACACAGCCATCTGCAGACAATGGTCCTGGTTAATGGGAGTCATCAAGATTCCAAACCATCATTAATCGCCCACACTTTGCATAATTACAATAGGCCCTCAGAGTTATATTTCATATTTCTAGTTTCAGATACAAGAGTGGTACATTTATACAAATAGGATGATCACACTCAGTAGATTATAAGCTTTGTAATGATACCTTGCCAGAGACCTTTTGCATGAAGCATATTCCAGTTACATTATATTCACTTCTTATTATGTTTTTATAAAACCATATAGACTGCACAACGTCACACTCCCTCACTCATGAACAGGGCTAGGAAGCTGGAGACCTGGGCCCCACTCTCAGTGCTGCCACAGAGCTCTGAACTTGGGCCACTCATTTGGCCCACCTATGCCTCAGTTTCTCCATTTCCAGCCTTACACTATTCTTGTGGGGGTTCAGTTACTCATGTTTGTGATGCACCCTGAGGGTGGAGAGCGCTCTGGGAGTGCACAGTATAGTTATTATAGATCCCCTGTGCCTATCCTGCAGCTCCCATACGTTATCTCCTGTCCCCAAATGTCTCCGATCTCCCAAATCATCCATTCTCTTCATCCTGTCCCCCTAACCTCATACCCCTTCACGGCCACCTCCCCAGCATAGTCAGAGCCTCCTTCTCTTATGCCCCTCTCCTTCCACTGAGCTTGTGCTCTGGAGTCCCTGACATTTAACGTACTCCCTCCACAAAGCTTAGTTCATTCTCAGCATCTTCCCCACCCCACCAGATGGCTCCCTTTATCCCATTTGGGTAATCAGAAAGGACTATAAGGGGCAACTGAGGAGCAAGGCACTGCTGGGAAGCTCACAGCAGCACTGGCAATACTCAGAACTCACCTGAACATTCAAGACTCCATTCCATCCTCCTCCCACAGAGCAGAGTCGAGGACCCACTGACTTGAATTCCTAAACCATTTTGCTGAAGCCACGAGGACCCCATTCCCTGGTGATTCCTTGCACTGACCAGACTGTGTGATCCTCCCAAACACCAGCACACCATGGCCAAGAGAGTTGCTGTGATCGGCTCTGGCGTGAGCGGACTGACCTCCATCAAGTGCTGCCTGGATGAGGGACTGCAGCCCACCTGCTTCGAGAGAAGCAACGACATCGGGGGGCTCTGGAGATTCAAAGTAAGTGGGGGGTTCATTGCCTGTAGAGTTGGCACATTGGCTGTTTTTGTAAACTGGACCTTCCTCTGTTCTGCCCTTCCTAAGGGGGCTAAGATCCCCTCTGCTGTCAGGCACAGAGGGAAGCAAAGAAGGGAAACAGTGGGTGGAAAAATCCTGAGGGGGGGGGGAGGAGTAGCCCAGTAGCACATTCCTTCTGGTGTCTGGGAGCTCACAGAAGCTGTTCCATGCCAGTGGCACTGGGACATGTTGTATGATCAGTGGAACTAGAGAAAGAGGGTCACACTTCAGGAGGAACCTAGTTCGGTGTGAATTCAGGAATGCAAGCCAGGTCCAGGCTGCTTGCACACACATCCTGGAGCCTCAGTTCATACCCCTGGCCTCTCAGCATGCCTAATACAGATCTCTTTCCTACAACTCTGCCTGCTTATCGCTAATGGTACAGGGCAGGGCTGCACAGCTGTGATGGGGGGTGGTCATGGTTACAGCCACATTATAGGTAGGGTTGCCAGTTTTGGTTGGACATATTCCTGGAGGTGTCCTCACATGACATAATCTTGAATTAAAGATTAATCTTTAATTCCTGGAGACTCCGGGACAATCCTGGATGGCTGGCAACCATAGTTACGTGATACGTGATCTATGACATACCACTGGGAAAATCTCTGAGACTTCAAGGCTCTTTAACTCCTTCTCTGTGCTGCCCCCTGCCCAGCCCTGTTCTCCTTTGTGACAGGCGCAACTGATCGCAGCCTGGCTCTTGAACTTGCCCCTGGAGCCTGGAAACTGACTAGCAGAGGGATTTTGTGACAAGCATGTCTCCTCTTTTTTGCTGCTTTTTGATGCTTATGGCAGGCTTGAAAGTCTGGGGGCAATGAGCTGTTATTTGTAAAGGTGATTTTGTTTTGTTTGATTTTACTGTATAAATATTAGGTAGGACAAGTATGCTCTCCCCTGGTTTTGTAGGAGGACTCACAGGGGGTGGAGGAAGCTTAATTATGTTCATTTGCTGGAGATGTACATTGTGAGCTCTAATGGAAAGAGGTTTTCAATGTTTAACAAAGACATTCTTCCTTCCAAGTGTCCAGTAAACACTGGAGATAAATAGGTGTTAGCCAAAACAAACAAAGCGAAGATTTAAACACTCTTAAGTGAACTTTTAGTCCATTTTCCTCTCAGTTGCCCAGTTTTTCCTCTCTTGCCTATTTGTGTTGTAATGTTAGTAGGTCTCCAGTTGCCAGGAGTCTTTCAAACTAGACAAGAGTGTAAAAAAAACCCCTCCCGCCCCCTCCCTCCCCCATCAAACCCTTTTCGGTCTCGTTCATTTTTCATAAAACAACAAATGAAGGACCCAAGCTCAATATTTCTTCCTTTTTGGTCGCCTTAGCTCTTGCATTTTCCCACATTTTGTGTGTTCACATATGTTAAATGTAACAGTACATGAATGCACATTTTACATTTAATCAAACAATTCTAAAAGTAAATGTACTGGCTCATGCTGTATTTCCCTGAGATCAAGATGACATTGTGTTATATTCAGACCTGGGGTAAGCCGGTGTATCTCCATTGCATTTCACCTGCATTCAACAACTAAATGTGGCCTGTCCTAAAATTTGTCTGAGAGTTCATTTATTTCCCTCTGTCCTTTAAACATAACTGAATGGAGAATGAATTACTGAAGACTGTTTTTATGTTCACTTTCAGAGCTGGCCGAATAACTGTTTATCTCCCCACCGTGAGTTAATTATGCTAATGTGGCTTGTTTACCCCCTAGTGAAACCTTTGTGGGGGGGAAAGGTTGAGAGAACAGTATGTAGTCAAGGCAAAGACAAATAAAAGTATGTGCCATTTTTCTGTGTCTTTGTGATGTCTAAAGAGAACCTAAAAGTTTGGGGGAGATGGTAAGTTTTCTTGTTTGGCTTGTGTTTTACTTTACATTGTGCTTTTGCCTAGCAACAGTGTTACATACATCTCCCAGTGGGTATGGTGAACAGGCTTTCAGTAGAGATATTACATGACACTCTATGGCAGTGGTCCCTAAACTGTGGGGTGCACCCCCCCTAAGGCGGTGGAGGAACATTCAGGGGGCATAGCGGGGCACAGGCCAGCTGCCACAGGGCGGGTGGGGAGGGAGCATTACCCAGCCCCTGCCGCAGTTCAGCACCCAGCAGCCACCCCAGCTCCAGGCCCTGACCAGGCCCAGTCATGGCTCCGCTCCCAGTCCCTCCGCCACCCTCAGCCCCTGACTGACTGCAGCCCAGCCATGGCTCCACTCCTGGCCACTGCCCCAGCCCAGCCCCCAGTTGGCCCTCAGCCTCCCCCGACCATGGCCCCTGGCTCCCCGCCACAGCTCCAGGCCCAGCCTTGGCCCTCCCTTCCCTCTGTCTGTGCACCCCCTCAGGAGCCGTGGCCCCGCTCCTGGCCCCAGCTCCCAACCGTGGCTCTGGGGTGGAGGGCAGCACACAGCGTGACAAGTTTGGGGATCCCTATAATCCTTTTGCACCCCTGAGCCCTCTGCCAGTTGACACAAAGAGGAACCTTGGTTGCAGTCTCCCCTCTTTTCAACCCAAGAAAGATTTATTTTCTTTGTCATGTCAAGTAAGCAGAGTGATCCAGCTGCAATGTATCTGGACTTGCTGGTGGGGTTGCCAATCCTCCAGGATTGTCCTGGAGTCTCTAGAAATTAAACATTATTTTTTAATTAAAGATTAATTTGTTATATGATAAAACCTCCAGGAATATGTCCAACCAAAACTGGCAACCCTACGGCTTCTGGAATTCAATAACCTGTTAATTCTCAGTGACTGTGTATAAACAAATGGGATCTGTTTTGGGCAACGTTTAAATAATCACCTGCCAAGAAAAAATTGCCCCAGCACTGGTGGTGGCTAGAAGCCACACTGCAAGCACTGTAATGCACAGCAATTCCTCTAACACCCCAGCAAGAAGAGACAAAATCATGCCAAATGTGTGTTTGTAAGTATAGAGTTTAATTTTATACTTCATAGAAAGGATCAAATGCAGCCTTGATGGACATTTTATAGAGGTTCTTACCATCTTCATTACCAAAATACCTGAGCACCTTCCAGTCATGCATTAAGTGACATGACTAAGTTCTGTCACGTATGGTTCATTCTTTCTCTCACTCTCTCCCAAAGGAGAGAATTGTGCACACTGTGGAGTGTTTTGATGGAATTTTTTAAATATAAATCATATGTACACTGTGCTGTGTTTGACAGGAGGTCTCTACCATGTAATGCTAGGGATGAAATTTTGCCCTAGAAGAATACCTCATTAGACAGCAACCGTGAATGGTAAATTACAGCTCATACTGCCATTCCCCCAGTTAAAAATGTAGCTGAATTATGGTGCCAGTGTAAATAGTCTATGGACACTAGGGCAAACATGCAATTCTGTGCTGATGAGCTGAAGCAAGTAATACTTTTCCTTTATGTCTGCCAAAGGATGAAGAAGCCCTTAGGACACAAATGAGTCTTGCAGAAGTCTTGCAACATGGGAGTGGACTGTAAATGATCTTAGATGGCCATGAAATAATGACCTGTTCAAACTTCAGTAACACCATGAACCAAGTGTGCAAAGACCACTTACAAGTCATAAGAGTTGCTACAACAGCAGCCATTCATGTGTACTGTTGTTTATTATTTGTATCACAGCAGCATCTAGATGCGCCAACAAGGTCCCATTGTGTTAGTACTGTACATACACCAAGTGAGACATCCTCAAATAACTTAAAAATCTCAATAGACAAAGCACAGGAGAAAAGCAATGGCATTATCCCCATTTTACAGATGGGAAACAGAGGCCCAGAGAGATCCTCAAAGGTATTTAGGCTCCTAACTTCCATTGGATCTGGACCTAAGTGACTTCCACAAGGTGTCATAGTGCGTCTGCAATTCACGTCTCCTGAGTTCCAGCACAGACTCTTAACTACAAGACCATCCTCACAAAGGAGAACATTTGCTACAAAGAAAAACTTGTGGCAAGAGAGATCACTTTGGCTCTGCATTGGGAAGCTTAGACAGAAGTGAGAGCCCACACACTGCATCGGGCTATCACAAACCTTCAGAGTCATTGAGCATCACACAGCAACATGGAAAACTGCAGATTTCCATATCTAGTAACATTTTAAAATACACGTTTGTTTGTCTGATGTTTTCTAGGAAAAGGTAGAGGAAGGCAGAGCCAGTATCTACCAATCTGTATTCACCAATTCCTCCAAGGAGATGTCGTGCTTCAGTGACTTTCCGATGCCAGAACACTTTCCAAACTTCCTGCACAACACCAGATTCCTGGAATATTTGAAACTGTATGCAAAGCGCTTTGATCTTCTGAAATACATCAGGTTCAAGGTATGTCCTATTAAAATAGGGTCCTGCTACTTATTTATTTCCTATACACAAAAGCCAGCTACTTACAGGCTGTATAACTTGTCTTTTAGGTTAAGGAAAACAGCAAAATAAGAGAGAACAAAAGTAAAGTCTGCATGAGAGTGAGCACAACTTCAGAATGGCTTGTTACATAACGTAACCTACCGATTCTGCATGTGTGTGTAGAACTGCAGCTGTATGCATTGTTGTTGTAGCCATGTTGGTCCCAGGATATATGCAAAATAAAGTGGGGGAGATAATATTTCTAGTGGACCAGTTTTGACTGGTGAGAGAGACATGCTTTCGAGCTTACATTGAAGAAGAGCTCTGCATAAGCTCAAAAGCTTGTGTGTCTCACCCACAGAAATTGGTCCAGTAAACGATATTATCTCCAGCACCTTATGTCTCTAGAACTATAGCTGATCTGGCTACTGGGGAACAGATTGCTTTCTGATAATACTCTGCTGGGTGGAGGACCTGGGGAAGGTTGGCAGAAGCCAATATTATGGAAGAGAGATGAGACTGTCACAGGGTGGCTGAAAAGGGGACAATGTGGCGACAGGGGAAAGGGCAGCAGGGGCATGGATTAGATGCTAAGTGGATTCAGATTCAACAGGGTAGATGATCGGCCAAAATTCTGACCAGGCCCTCGATAGTGAGAGGGGACACTTGAGAGGATTCTGGCCTTTTTCTCATGGATTCAGTCCCAACCCCTGTTTCTACCCCACAAAAAGCACAGGATGTCAGGACAAGGAACTGTGTGAAGAGATCAGGCTAGTGGATAGGATAAAGAGACCAAAGCATCATTTTTCTTTGGGTTTCTTAAATTGCTTTAAACCAGGTGAATCCAACTCATTCTATTACAAGGGCAAAAATTGCACAATTAATTAGGTCTGTGATGCTCCCCAGAGGTACCCAGGGCTGTGAGGCACCTTGCTACTGTCTGCCCTTCGCATGAGCAAGCCTCATACCAGCTGGGCATCAGTTCCTTGACTCCATGGGCAACACAAGCAATGCCCTCTAGGTCTGTGCTCTCCTCCCCACAGGTTAGCGATAGGTGTACTCCAACTTCTGAGCATCTCTCTGGAGTGTCCAGCCCCTAGTCCACTGCATGCTCATAGAATTCACTGCTGTGCTGCTCCGAAAGAAGCAGTGTACCCCAGTTTACCAATCCCACCTCAGATCACCGCTCCCCCTCACACCCAGCACTTAGACAGGTTCATAGGGAAATCAAGTGTAAGTTTAATTTAATGCAGTTGAGCTCCCCCAAAGTTTTTGCAGTGTTTTCCAGCCAGGTGGGCTGTAACCCTCCTTTCATAAGACAACACGCTGATAGTTCATCTCCTCAATGAAAGAGCCAGGGTGCAATACACTTCCAATCCATTGTCTTTACTTGTAAACAGGATGTCCACCACACATTGAGAGTGTGGGGGGGGGGGGTTTGGGTGGGAGGGTTAGGGTTTTTGGTTCAGATACATAACTTCTTAAATATCATCCATCCATACATCTCATAATTAGGGCTGTTAAGTGATAAAACAACCCCAAGAAAGATTTATTTTCTTTGCCATGTCAAGTAAGCAGTCTGAACTTTGTTTTGGTGTTTGCACATGCAGTTGGCCATTTTGCATGCACAGGTGTAGTAATTGTGTGTGCAAACAAGATGCATAGTTGCAACCTAAGCTATCTGAAAACTTTCCCCTTTCAGCTCTTGTCTACACCAGGCTTTTAGCCAGAATTTTTCACTGTTGCTACCAGCAGTTCAACTCTACTAGTGTTAGCAACATTTTTACCACTCTGTCACCCAGACCTGCTCTGAGCGATGCTAGGCAACAGGTAATAAAAGCTGGTAGCAACAGTGGGAGACATAGTGTGATGAAATATTGGTGTCCGGTGACATTTTTACCACTCTGTCACCCAGATCTGCTCTGAGTAGTGCTAGGCAACAGGTAATAAAAGACGGCAGCAACAAGAACCTGATCAGTCTAGCATTGCCATCATTGCTACCACCAGTGGAGTGGGAGCAATGGGGGGAAACTTTTGGCATGAAACCCTAGTGTAGACACAGCCAAAATGTCACCATAAAGCATAAGAGTTAATTCCCAGTTAAGGTGAACTGGATCAATTCACTCGTCTCGGAGTTGTTTCAGGCTACGGCAGTACTATGTTCCATTCACAGCTGGAAGGTTATGTTTGCAGCCGTAAGGGCTACAATCTTCCTTGTTAGTTAAATGAAAGCTTTCATTCTGGAAAGTCTGGATCTGTCAAGCAGGCTGGATTAAATGTACCCATTTCTGGCCTGTAAATTACACAGTTGACATTCCTGCTTAAAGTCAAACCTGAATGTGGAGCCCAGTTCACTCCTAGTTTCTGAGCTCTTCTGAGTATGTGAGTCACAATAGATCACCTCTAACACATGGTGCTGGGGCCAAAGCACTGATATATTTTCTCGGGTTTACTTTCAGACCACAGTCATCAGTGTAAGAAAATGCCAGGATTTCTCTACCACCGGTCAGTGGATTGTTGTCACCGAGAGTGATGGAAAGCAAGAATCCACCATGTTTGATGCCGTTATGGTGTGCATGGGTCACCATATAGAATCCTTTATCCCAGTGCAGTCGTTTCCTGGTAAGAACTGTGTTTGCAAAGCCCTCCTACAGGGTGTATTTGGGGTCCAGGTTAACAAGGTACAAAACCAGGAACAGCTAGGGACAATTGTTTATATTCCTGTATTGGAGTGAGAGCCTATGGCTCGCTGCATGACCAGTTTAATGGTTCCTCCAGATCTGATTATTCCTTCTTGTCTTTCTTGAGGCTTTAGTCCCTTGGAAGCACTACAGTTATTGGATTATCCAAATCATTACTTCAGCAAGCAGATGGGCCTGGATCCCACATCCTCTGAAGCCAATGGATATCTTTCCATTCACTTCAATGTGTGCTAGATAGGGCCCAGCTGTTTGCTTTCCTGATACAACAAGACTAATTTAAAGCAAGAGCATTGCGAAATTCTATACATTCAACAAATACCTGGCCATGAACAATGCAGGGTTCAAATCAAGAAGCTGTTATCTGTTTGATTCCGTTGTCTCTCCTATATTGCTGTGTATTTTATATATATAATAGCACCTCCACTGCCATATTTTACATACTGATTCTTCTTTTCTCTGCTAGCTTTCTTCTTCCTTCTCTTCTTTTTGCCCTGAAAAATCTCAGTCACAATGTTTAAATTCTCACCCTCTCCAATATTTTCAGCTCTTCCAGTAAAAGTAATGTTTGGGGTCAGTTGGTTTTGGACAAATTTTTGTTCAGTTTCTACTTTAGCGGAATGGTTTTTCCTGGTAGTGAAGCAAAATTGTTGGCACGATCAAAGTTTGGCACAAACATACATCAGGCACAAACACAAAGTTTGGCACAAGCACGCAGCTAAACCTTTGAGTGGATTAGTCGAACATACCAGGCACATTCAAATATTTGCTCTGTTTTTAACACTTGACACAGGCCAGCTGGCATCCCCACCCAATTAACTCTGAGAGTGAGAAATGCTTGCAGACAAAGGGCTCAAACCTCTATAGCAATGAGTGCATACTCAGTGCAGCTCAGGAGTGGGGGGCCACCTTTCCATTCCCCCAGTTCTGGACCAGATGAGGAACATAATAGCCCCTGGGGTAACTTAAAGCAGCTTCAGAGCTGCCATGTTATGCCACCTGCATCCAGTGCTCTGCCCTGCCCCAGCACATCCCTCCCACACCTCTAAAGAATGGTGTGCAGCGGAGGGGGGGGGGGGATCTCCTGCCCTTTCGATCAACATTCATCCTGTTCACTGCATGAGCAGTACACAGCAGGTGGAAGAGGGCCTGAGGGCTACACCCAATGTGTCCACGAATGAAAGGCACTGCTCTCCACTGACACTTCTCATTTTTGTTTCTAGTAAAGCATACCTAGACGTCTTCTCAAGCCAAACACCCTACAGCTCAATGTCTCTAAACTCTGGGAGGAGGCAGGAGGGTTGAAATACAAACTTGGATCTGAATTTTATATTCATAAGAGGCCAAACCAATTGACAACGCCACAAAACCTGCAGCAAAATGCCCCGGAATTTTAAGATGCCCCAAATCTGGCGCTGAGGGTGTCTACACTGCAATCGAGAGGTGCGATTGCAGCATGTGTACCCCAGCTAGATCAAAGCTAGACTGAGTAACACTAGTGGTGAAGCCATGGCGGCACAAGCGGGTTAGCCCCGCCCACCCAGGACCTAGGTTCAATCACATACCTGAGCGTTAGCAGTTTAAAACCCATCTCTGCACTGAGATTCCAATCCTTCCTTCTCTCCTCGTAGGTATTGAAAAATTCAAGGGCCAATATTTCCACAGCCGGGAGTACAAGAGCCCCGAAGGATTTCAGGGGAAGACGGTCGTGGTGATTGGAATGGGGAACTCTGCATCGGATATTGCCGTGGAGCTCTGTCAGAGAGCCAAACGGGTAGTGTGACTTAGCCTGCTACCCTTGTGATTTGGGGTGAGGGCAGTGGAAGGCATCCATATACTTTATCCATAACATATACTGATGTGGCAGGTAAGTAAATTAAACGCCACATCAGTATACTGTGGCCCAGAGACTTGTTAAAAGCAGCAATCACCTAGAATACTCAGCATTCCAGGCATTAAAGCCCAAATCTCTGCTTCTCTGGAGCAGGAAAAAAAGCCTCTAATGATTGGTTGCTATTATTTTGACTGTTTGTTCTACGTATTTCTGTAGGGCCTAGTGGCCCCACCTGCAAACAAAGTTCCATTGTGCTAGGCCCAGTACATACACACAGCAAAAGGTCCTGCACTCAGACCAGCCTACAATTTAAAAAGACAAGACAAAGGGTGGGAGAAAAGAAGTGGTGTTATCCCCATTGTACAGATGGGACACTGAGGCAAGGAGAAGTTAAGCAATTTCCCCTAGGTCACAAAGGGAGGCTGGAGCCAAACCCAGCTCTCCTGAGTTACACAAGATCACCCTTCCTTTGAGATTGATACATCTAGAAACAGCCTCCACAGCAATGTAAAGTAATCTCAAGTGGGTGTTTTTTCCCAGCCCCCTGACTCTGTTGTGAGACATTGTTTCTCTATTGTTTTGACCTCGGTAGCCTCAAGCAGGAGATGATGTTCAATGTCTGGAGATAAACCTAGGCTGAGATTTGCCATGCAGACAATGCACATGCTGTGGAAGACTGTCACTGCTTAAAGTGGAATTCTGTATTGCCCTGTAGGTGTTCATCAGCACCAGAGGAGGCTCATGGGTAATGAGCCGTGTCTACGACGACGGCTACCCTTGGGACACTGTATTTCACACCCGATTTAGCAATCTGATCAGAAGTGTCCTGCCTTGGCCCCTTTTGAAACGGGTGTATGAACAGAAGATGAACCAATGGTTTAACCATGAAAACTATGGCTTGGTGCCTCAGAACAGGTACGCACTTTTAACGTGCAGCTGATCTATGGGTAGGTGGAGAGGGAAAGGAATCTGAATCATGTAATTATTATGAGGCCATACTCTGTCCTCACTCATGCTTCACTCACTCCTTACTCAGGCTAAACTCTTACTGAATATAGGACTGGCCAGACTAGATCAGACCTGAGGTCCCTCTACCCCAGTCTGTCTCTGACACTGGCCAGGACCATATGCTTCAGGGGAAGGTGCAAGAAATTCTGTAGTGGGCAATTATGGACAATCATGGGAAAGTTTCTTCCTAACCGCCATCACTTAGTGGTCAGATTATGCCTTGAAGCATGAGGGTTTATACTTTTGGATGTTCTCATTATCCACACACATGTGTAATTCTTTTTTAATCCTGCAGTAGACCAAACTAACCCTCCAATCTTAACCCCCCAAAACACTGGGATTGTTTGAAATCTGGATTCACATGTGAAGGGTTGGGCCTATCTCTGCTTAAAATGCCAGGAAAGGGTCCAAGATCAAAACATGTACATTCTCCAGGAAAATAAATGTCCGGGGAGGAGGGAGAGGAGTTGGAGGAGGGTGGTTCCTTGGCAAGTGCTCAGCTCTGTTCCAAAACTATGTGGAAAATGCTCTTGGGAACCCAAGTCCTGCCAGGAAAGAGCAAATATTTATTTAGATTTTATAAAACAGTTGATTCAAGTCTTTAGACATTCAAAGGCTTAGATACACCTCTACCCCGATATAACGAGAATTTGGATATAATGCGGTAAAGCAGCACTCTGGGGGGCGGGGCTACGCGCTCCGGTGGATCAGTGCATCAGCATGTCTGGCTCCAACACGCTGCTCTGAGCGACGTGTTAATGGTGCCGGGCCAGGGCCAAGGGGTTGGATAAGGGGCAGAGGGTCTCGGGGGGCAGTCAGGGGACACTGAGCGGGGGGGTTGGATGGTTCGGAGGTTCTGGGGGTGGGGCGGTCAGGTGACCGGGAACGGGGGCATTGGATAGGGCGTGGGAGTCCTGAGGGGTGGAGTTAGGTACGGG